AGTCAAAATCACATAACTGACAATTTGCACAGACGAATTATCAGAGCGAATTTTCATATACTGTATTATCCTACTATTGTTACACAATTTACTAACATACTCTTTTTTAGGTTCATTTAGGTTCTTTTGATAACGATAGCAGAAAATAGCTATCGAAACGTCAAGGTAATTTTTCAAATTAATTTCTTTACTAATTGGAATTTTCTCTTACAGCTTGAGCCTAAGTGTGTCACAGGATACCCTCTAGGTGACAGTTAAATTACTTTTTGATAAATAATTCGTTCTTATTGCGAAATAGGAGCACTATTTACCAATCTGTAATAAAAGACGTGAGGAAATTCTGTCTTTTTTAAAGACAAAAATTTTTGAGGCAAAATACCCAACAAGAAGTTACCGGTTACCCTAACCTATTTCATTCTCACTTGATCTTTTGACATTTAAGAAGTATTGTATTTACGGAATGTCAATGAGGCAGATTACCTTGCAAACATTGTTGCCTAATTTCTGATCCAGTTTTCTGCGAATGTCTCAGCTTTGGATCAGAATTATTATTTTTCACCATTTTCCCTAAACACCCCCCAGACAAATGACGCGAATTTCGAATAGGTTGAGTTGAAAAACACGTTTTTATAAGGCAAAAAATGCGACTTTTACTTAAAAAAAAAGTGGCGCCTACATCCAGATGTAAATTTCCCGTTTGAAATGCTGCGTTCCAAATTGCTACTTCCTTTTGCCTGTCAGTTCCCCCCTCAGTTGGCAGGTGGCCGATTAATTGCGGACGATTTTCCACACATTTCAAGCCCCCCCATATGCATGTAAAGATACAATTTTCGGCTGTCACGTACGGTCCATGTGTGTATTTGAACAGGTGCAAACATGAATATAAACCCGCCTGTGGTTAATCGATGTTGCATCTGACCGTCTGACGGCGCCAACGCGTCGCATGGCGCCAAGTAATGTCGCGTCCCGTGACGTCATTAATAGGCCCCACCTGCCCACCCCCTGGCCTATAAGCCCACAACGATCATTTTATATCAAGAGAGCTGATCGAAAACTGGCCCCATTGTTGTATGAAACAATGTGCTTTAAATTTCAACCTATATTGACCAGCAAATTCTTGCATTAAACCTCCATTTGTTGATTAATTGAGTATCTATTAGCTGCATTCATTATCTATGTGTGAAATAGTAAGGCACTTAAGTGAGGAAAAAGAGCAGGCAGCGCTGCCCACTTGATTGTGGTATCGTATATTCGACGGAAAACATGCGACAAGAAAATTGCCCAATTAATAGAAGTGTGGGCATTTCTGGTGTCCATGCGGTTTCAACATGAAATTTCCATTCCATAAGCCGCATTTTTAACCAGCGGAACGCCAAACCGAGGAACTAAAATAGGCGAAAAGGCGTTTCGCAAGCACGAGTAACGTGCATCTTCAGCGGTGGTTTGAACCTGAATGCCCGAAAACCGCAGCATTTGAAATGCGTTGGGTTTTTTGGTTTTGCAGGTTTTGACGAACAAAAAACTGTCGGTTTTCAATATGTAATAACTTTTTTAGCTGTTCTTTTTTCCGTATTTCAATCATTAGAAGAAAAATGACCCGTAGTAAGGTAATTGTCCGCGTGTGAAGTACTCAGTGCAAAGTGCTATTTGGTTGAAAAGTGAGAGACAAAACAACTCAACCGTCAAGAGCGCATGAATGCAAAAACTGTTTCCAGTGCGTGTTTTATGCTATTTATTAATATCAAATTAAACGGCAATTATCTCGACATCGAGTGCAGCAGATATCGGTATTAGTGGGGTACAATTTTGCGCAAACTTCCCCACATTCAAGCACGTAGCTCTGACTGAGTTGAAACAAGTTACAAAAAAGGAGACAAATCCACATATGTACTTACCACCACTAGTCGTGAGCGATTCGAAGGAATTCCTAGTCAGCAGAGGTAGTTCACTAGGAGCTCGATCTGAAGCAAACAGAACATTGGTTAAACGCTATTCGAACGATTTCCTCACCAATACAATGGATCAA